ACCAAAATTGTTGTTGCATGGAGAGCAATATTCATTCCTCCTGGTATTCTGAAACATAAGGAACTGCATATGGTAGCCGCATAATTCATTCACACGTGCTTTGTAGCAAGGAGACGAATATCCGATTTTAAGCCAAATACATCGATTCTGTGCTTGAATCATTAGATGTGTAATTAAAATTCAATGTAAATATTTGTCTTAAATCATAATAGATCGATTGTCCGCAATTAATCCTTCCGCAGTCTATGCGAGGGCTAGATTTGATCAAAACAGACTACTATATAGAATATGGGCACATTGAATTATGGAGACCAAATACGACTAAAGTGATGTTTTCTCAGTTGATATGGTAGCATGGTATCCTGAAAATTTTCTTGGATATGGAGAATGTTCTAAATACTTTAAGAGATTTGGACATCTATCACAAGAGATGACAAAACTTGCAATAAACGGACCCTTACCAGATTTTGACTTAACGGGTTTTGCCTATATAGAATCATTTGAGTTAAAAGGAAATCTCCATTCAATTACATATGCTTTCTTTGGAAAACCTTTTTAAGAAACATGTTGGGTTCCAATGGTACTATTACCATATATGGCTTGATAATAAAATTTTAAAATCTTTGAAAGAAAATGAAGCAATAAAATCGTATAGTCCACAGAAGCACGTTTTGTTACCAAAACCGGATATAGTTAATATTGATGATGCCAGAAAAGATTTTCCTGATTTTAGTGAAAATGACATTGCTAAAATTATTAATAATATACGTAAATTCTGGAACAAGCACAATGACAAACTTGCAAAAGCTCTTGTTAGAAAGATAATCGGTATGTTTGCCCAGTGAGGATTATACGATTATAAAAGACACTGTACAAGATTTATTATGGACGATGCTGAAAACGATTTTATAATCGCTGATACAACGGAGATAAATACATTCATAAGCCGATGTAATGCTTATGCATCAGACAGAACCAAACTAGGCACAATTGTGAGCTTTAATAATGGCGACTCACCGCAGTTTGCTCACTTAAGATCTTTAATTATAACCAATGTTTCGATAAATATATTGTCGATGATAAATAGATTTTCTCGTTATGATGTCAGAGTTGCTAGGGATTCCTTTATATACATAACAAATATACAGATTTATTAAAACCACATCTTGGTAATTGTCAATGGGGGTCAAGGAGAATAAAATAAGAAAATATACTCAGTTATTATATATATATATATATATATATATATATATATATATATATATATATATATATATATATATATATAAATTAAGGAAACATATTTAAAATAATAATCATATATCAAAGTCATCGGCACTATCTGTATATAATCATGTGGCTAGACATAAGATTGTTTATTGTAATGGGTGTGGTGGTTCAGGTAAAACAACTCGTGCGAGTATTCCTAAGCAACCATTCATTATAATTGTTTTGACACCTACACATAAACTCGAAAGAGAAATAAAAGAACGTGGAGAAAAATCATGTACATTTCATAGTTTCTTTAGATGGTACAGAGACATATGGGCTTCTGAGCGAAAGGTTGAGAAATATATACCTAATTATATTATACGGGGCGAGGAGGACACTGTGTCATTAGAAATATTGAAAATATTTATTGAATGGTTATTGGCAAAGAATACTACTGTAATAATTTGTGGCGATCATGGTCAACCATGCTTTTATTGAACAGTCTCCACATGAATGGCTGAAGAATAATGTAGATTATTATGAAGAAAAAAAGCTGATCATAGATCTATTGATGAACCGTTGAAAGAACTTAAAAGATTGTTCAGACTACAGCCAGAAAATATGCAATGTGAGATAATGCGTAAATTAATTCTAGAAACGAATATGAATGATTTGTTTCTGAATTTATGGAGACCTGCTCAAAGTTAGTTCGTGATGAACTGCAAGAGAAATTATTTACGTTACATAACAAAACGTTTTCAAATTTGCCTGTACCATTATGTTATCGCCCAGCAAATACTTGACGACAGATATTGAAGTTAAAATTCACGGTTGTTGGAATAAAAAAATCTTGTACTGAATGATATTGTTTTCGTTGCTGTTTATGTTTACATTGAGCATTGATAAATCGCCGTGGACGTTAGGATACGCTAGAACGAGTCATTCGTCACAACGATTAACTATCTCTAATATAAATATATGTATTGTAGATGATCGGGTCGAATGGTCAAATTTGGTCTGTCCTGCAGTATCTCGTGCCAAACGAATATCTTATTTCCTTATGGTTATTATAGATTACGTGATAACTGAGGAAATCACTAACGACCCTGCTGTCATAAAGAAAACAATGGCGGGTTATAAACAATGTGATAATGCCTTTGATATGGATACTGAATTTATTACAACACTAACACATACAGAATAGTCATTGTGCAATCTGTAGCTGTAATATGTTATGGAAATATTCGAATAATAATTCAAGACAATTACAATAAACAGAATTTATAGTGATCTTGGTCATACACGCTATAATATAATGCTGACTTGCCTTGAATGTAATCGACGCAGAGGTTCTAATTTACATAAGTGAAGATGGTGGTAATTTTGCGTCTTTAGGAAATATTGGTAATTATTCACGTACAAATCCACGTTCAGTAGCCGTAGAATCTAGTCTGTAGATTCCAGGTCTACCTATGGATCTAACCACGCTAGACATTTTATGTGTAGTCACGCTCTAGATAGGATCAGTTGCTCTTTCCTTACTACCTTCAAGTTCACCAGGATCACATGAATATCTTATAGTTACATTACCTAAGACTGGTTGAGAGGAAGATTCACGGCGTTGTATTGGTATATGTATTTTTGTGATGGCTTTAGAAGGTTTTATGGAAGTTGCACATGTAATTTCATTATTTAACGCTGATATCACACTTGGTAATCTTGCAACCCATTACACGAGATCTGTCTCCGGATTTAAAGTCAGTGGATATTTCCCTTGCATATTCATATCCAAATAACAGCTCAGCAAGTGCTTGATTAAATCGGTCAACTATGGCCTGAACAAAACGAATTTCTGTATGTCCTCGTCTGATTTTAACGTTAAGTTTTTTATCAACAATAATACCGCACCTTTACCAGGATCAACCTGTAGAAACTATGGCCATTGTAGACCACAACGTTAATAAATTTGCTCATACGCAGATGAAACTTCAGTTACTTTCTTTGTTGATAGTAGTTCTGCTTTTTTATATCTACTTGCAACGTCAACGACAATCAATGCACACCTATATATATATATATATATATATATATATATATATATATATATATATATATATATATATATATATATATATATATATATATATATATATATATATGCGTGATTTTCGTCCACGAGTTTTAATTGTATTGTGTTATAAAAACAAAATATCTGTTTGATGAACTTGGTTAAGCAGATGCATCGAACACAATATAAATTCTTATTAATTTTATATGGATTTAATTGACTTCTTAGCGACTCGAAAACAAGAACCAGTAAGATACCATCCAGCACTACCAAAGTATATCAGAATGATTATAATAGGTCCATCTGGATCTGGTAAGAGACAATTATTACTTAAACTGATATTGCGATGGATGAAGTGGGACAAATTATATTTCGTAGCACCATCTGCAGTTGATCAAAGATGTTATGAAGAATTTAATGAAAATGCAAAAATTATTGATTGAAGAATGCAACGATGTTATTGATTTCATCACCGATATTGACGAATCCCCATCTGTAGATGACTAGATGGATTCATTAATAATCTCGTAGTATATGTTGATGTGATGCTGGACAAATAATCAAATCCAGCTAGAATATTTTCCAGATGCAAGCACAAAAAATACTGACGTGATTTATGTTACACAACGATATAAACAAATACCTAAAATGATAAAAGATAACTGTAATATTTTAGTTATGTTTAATGGATTAGATAATTATACTTTACAGAATATTTAATATACTTGGTGTTCAAGGAGTATGGATATGATCGAGTTTAGAAACTTCTTTTCAAAGGCACAAACCCTTTTCCTTCGGACTTACAACAACAAATCTACCTGACCCACGATCCAGATTTCGTATATGTCTGGATAAAATCTTTGGTTAATTATATCAGCAGTGAGTGACCGGCAAGTAAATGAGTCGCATAACAATATGAAAATATACGTCAAGAATGGGATAACAAATATGAGCGAACCCAAACGATTAATTGTCTATTTTAAACCGTATTTAAATAGGATCGTTTAGGGGCTTCAGTTCTTAGCCTTCGTGAGAACCTAAATATTTCGTAAATAAGGTCTAAGGCAAAATGGTCTGTTCACCCTAACTGCTACTCAGTGTGTTATTATATTTCATATTGGTAATTTGATTAATTTGCATTCAGGCCAAGGAAGTTTTAAATTGTGCTCAGAATTCAAGTTTTTTTTATTTGTATCATTTCTTATTTTTCTTGAGCAAATATTTTGTTTCCTGCCAGTGATGTAATTCTTATATATTTGTTATTCATTAAACAACATTGAAAGTATTGACATGTTTCAAAAATGTAAATTTGAATATTTCCATCAGAAAATAGTGTTGTCGCTGAAATCAGGATTACTTCAATAGAATTATGGTGTATGTTTTTTTAAATGCTGTTTAAATTGTGCTTTGTTTCACAAATATGCTCTTCCTGTACATATTTTTCATAATAATTTATACGCGTTCGTGTCTGTGTGTGTGTCTGTGCGATTTAGAATTTTAACATAGCTGTAATATTTTTCAGTCATATCGCTACGATGTCTGCAATGTGTCAGTTTATAGTGATGTCTAGCACTGGGTCATCATGCTACAGACATGTGGCATTATGTTCCACCCAGTCACATTATCCTAACACCAGGCTAATCAATCCTAACACCCACCCTCTTAAATATGAGCGCCAAGTGAGACAGCTGTTCGTATCATTTTTTAAAAGTCTTTGGTAAGACTCAACCAGGTTTCGAACCAATGGCCACCCGCATCCGAGGCAGGCACTCTAACCACTAGTCTACCGGAGCTTTTAATTTCTGTACCTATCGAGACATAATATAAGAAATATATAACAGTCTAAAAATGGGACATTGCATACCTTAAATGCAAGTCTAGTATAATGTTATTGCTTCAACATACCTTTGTCTGAATATTCTGATGGCAAAACTTATAAAACATCTTTCCGATGAATCTGTTTATGTAGATGTTCTGTTTGCCAGAATGTTTAAAATGTCAATCAATGATATTATGTCACATCTATATTCTTGACTTGTTTAGCATGTGTTTTAGTGTGCTCAAAAGTCCGCAGACCATAATATCATTTTTATAAGTCTTTTTGGACTTGAAGGAAAAAAATCTAATTGGAATTCTAGCATAGATAACTTGCTTTTATTTGCTTCTTTCTCTGAATAAGTAATTATTTGAATTACTCAAATACAATTACACTTTACAAAGAAATTATCTTGCTTCTTTACGTTCTTTCCAAAAACAAATTGACAGTTTGACGTTTCATCAAATTTGGAAAGAACTACCTTGTCTGATCATAATAGAGATTGTTCATGCAGACAGTCAAATAGCTAAGATGATGTTATTATATAACAATACAGTAGTATTGCATATGCCTTCCTGTGATGTCATTTTTATCAAGAATTCTTCACCTTAGATGAAAGTAAATGTAATTTCGTTCATCTTACAGCTGCCTAAGCTAGGTGCTTAGCATTAAGAGGTTTGTGTTGGGACGGGTTGGCCTGATGTTAGAATAATGAGACTGGGTGGGACAGCGGCATGATGCCCCGGTGCTAGACATTACTGTATATTGCCATGTTGCAGATTTTGTAGCGATATGACTGAAATTTTGCTAAAGTTGCGATAAATATTCAAATCAAACACACACACTCCTTGCGCATATCATCTCTATCTATCTATCTATCTATCTATCTATCTATCTATCTATCTATCTATCTATCTATCTATCTATCTATCTATCTATCTATCTATACATGTCTCTCTATCACCTCTTTTTGCAACTCTCTCTCTCTCTCTCTCTCTCTCTCTCTCTCTCTCTCTCTCTCTCTCTCTCTCTCTCTCTCTCTCTCTCTCTTCAAATGCATTTGTCTTTCTTTTCTCCAATTTTTGTAGTGTTCCAAACACATTCTAATATTTAACTTGATGATAAGTCAGTACCCTCGAATGTGCTAATGTGCCAACAGTCTTCATATATCACTGAAATATAATCCAAAACGTCTTTGAATGGATTCCGTACAATTCCAAAATAGTGGTTTAGTCCAAGATGTAATAATGAGCACCTTGTAGTTTCATTGAATAATTTAAAGAAATGAATCCTCTGATATTTTTACTGAAACACAACCTACATTTAGTCCACAAAACTGATATATTATTGTGTGCAATGCATGTTCAACTATTTACTTGTTTAAATTATTTAGTGAAAATACAAAGAGCGCATTAACATTTTGTGCTTAACCATACTTTTTGATTATTGAAAATGTATTCAACGACATTCTTGATTACATGATCACTAGACGTGTAATGCAGTTGTCATTAAGCTCTTCCAACAACATTCAAGTATCTGTGCAGTGATATTTTATGTTGTTTGAATATGTTATGTTGCAAACCTATAATATGCTTAATATATTTCTTTTACACAACTAGCTTTGATAGCAATTTATCTGGTTCAACTTGTAAATAAACAGGTGTTCGTGATATCGATGGTGTTGCTCCTGTATCAAACTCGTTGGTTCTACCATGTTTGAAATAATTTAAATTCATTACTGTATAACTGTGTCAATTATTCATTATGTAATAACAAATTTAGTTCTTATTTTGCTTTGTTACTTGTCATAGCAATCTAAATGATTAAAAACTTTGTTCAGTACTAAAGTGAGGCTGGTCGAATTATTTGTTTTAATTGTTGTAAAATACTAAAGTCTGATAGGTCCAATTAATATATACATATAATGTGATGTATTATTGACAGTTCTAGGCTTGTAATGTATGGATCCGGGCACTTATGTCTTGTTGGTGATCGAAAACATGAATGTATTTCACTAAAATATGATATGATAACTACCCGCAACTGTCATCCCACAACCTTGACTGTCACTCAAATTTTTTTACGTATGTTTTATAATTTTCAGAACTCAAAGCTCAGGTTCCATTCGTAAACATTAGACCTATCACGAATCATAATATCGGGATTGGCTGAGTGGCATGCACCACACTCAAACCAGATTGGTGTTCAGCAAATAAAATATAATACATCTTGTAAGTTGTTGAACGTGGAGAATAATTTTAGTCCATCAAAGTGTCTTTAAAGAAAGGATGTCCATAATGGTGATCAGGTAGGTTTCGTAAATTCTGTGTCTCTATGTATGTTTTTTGTGTGTATTTCTAAAGAGAGAAACAAATATTGTTTTATTGCTTACATTGAATGTATAAGAGCGGATTCTGATATCATGAGGGTTTACCTTTTTAAACTTTAGTTCGATTTATTTTGAGAAACAAAATACAACCAAATGAATTCAGTGTTGGTTGGTATTTTACTAGGCAATATTCATGTTATTTTTCATGACTGTTGTAGGTGTAATGTCTATTCAGAGCTGGGCCTCTAAAACAATTCTAAGAATACTGCGAGAGGCGGCAAGATAGACCGCAATTATTTTAGGGATCCATATTTTCAGTTTCTAGGGCAGTGAACGGGTACTTTTTAATTTCAAGCTTTTATTCATCTTTTATATATATATATATATATATATATATATATATATATATATATATATATATATGGTTTAGTTCGAGATGGAGGTGTTGTTACGTGACAAGGGTTCCTACTCAGTAACAAAGTAAAGAGTGAAAGCTAACAGGCTTTGTATATTTTAACAATACAATTTATTTCTCTAGACAACAATGTAAAAATTGGTAAATGTGATTTACAGTTTGTGAATATGACCCAAAATTTGATCCTGAGAATGAACCAAAAGTCATGTCACTAAATAGTCCTATTAGAATAATGGTTCAAGTCCGAACAAATTACAAATGACGACGTCAGATGTGGTCCAATATACGAATAACGTCAACTCCTCACTTTAATCATAGTCTTTGTTTCCTAATAATTCCAGAATAACTTTCCTTGAATATCTTTCAGAATTTTTATAAAAACTTCAACTTCTTGAGTTTCCAGAGGAATAAATAATTAAATCTAAAAATCAGACGAAGCACAACCAATCTATCAACAAATAAATAACACACCATGTTTATTCAAGGTGTTAGAATGACTCCGTCTAAAATAATTATTAAGATTGCATATTTAAAACCCCAGCGTCTCATTTCAAGTCACGCGAGATTGGTCCTGTGGTCTCTTACTACACGAAATTCAGCATGTCCGTCAGTATAAACTCACTTAAAAACCAATCATAAAAACGTTGTTTACACATAATGATCAGGCAAAGAAAGTATGGACCTGATACTGACCAACTACTTTAACTTCCTGTTGACATTGTTGCCAGCGCAAGACAAACTATTGCAACTAAATGATAATTCTCACGTAATACTACTTCGTCATAAATAAACAACATTCATTAAAAGAAAATATATAATTGCTGAAAAATACTTTCGAATCTAATATAAAACAATATTCATTACAATAAATTGTAATGAAATAAAACTTTTTTAAATCTTATACACAAGCAATTTAATATCATATATACCTAACATGTGTGTAACCTAGTTTCTAAATGCCCTAAAATACTTAGTTGTGAGGAAATACAAGCAGTGCCAGTGTTCCTTTACGTTCTATTAAAAATGAAATCTTTAAGATGGCAGCGGAAAGTTTTCATTCTCATGTAACTTATGTCCTCTACTCCAGAACTATTGACAGGTACGTACATGGACTTAAGTCAAGTACTACAGCACATTTTAGTCATGGTTTGTGTTGCTTATGGTAGAACTTTTTGCATCGTTGTTATAATTGTTGATGTTGTTACAGATGATGTTTGTGCTTGCTTGTTTGAATTTGATATGGTGAATCAAATACACTCCTTGTAACTTAAACTTTACCAATATACGAATTTTACAGGATTTTATTTATTTGTCTTATATTGTCGACATATGCATTATATTTAGAAACAAAGCTGTACATAATGATACATGTCCACTTTGAATGATGTCCAATGTTTACAGCATATTGTACGAATAATGCGACTCAAATAATCAGTTATGCGTCAATAAGCTACTTCGTCATAACATGGATTCCTCTGTTAAACACGTTCTTATAAAGTTCCGAAACAACTACAAAAGCTTAGAACCTTCCCAGTGTCCCATTATTTTTGTTTTGTTATTCCTCTCAATATCTACGCAGTTCTAATAGCAGTTAATACCTGTCAATCGTGTTTTCTAAAGTAAAGTGGCTAGTGTACAGGCTTGTTTAGGTCCCTACTCCGTTCCAACGTTGCAAAAATATATTAAGAAAACTTTGCACCTTTTTCACTGGGTCTGTAATTTATTTAAACTATTATGCTTTTAAGCATACTAATTTAACGTTCAATGAAAACTATGCAAGATGAATATGTTTAAACCATTGATGTTGCAACCCCAACGACTATTTGTTTACATAAGGAAGTAAAATTTTATGAAATACATTATGTACCTGAACTGACACGGTGTCAAATTTATGGGTCTGGATACAAGGATACTTGTGGTCACAAGTCGTTGTACCCATTTGTCCTTTTCCATACACGCACATATGTATGTATGTATGTATGTATGTATGTATGTATGTATGTATGTATGTATGTATGTATGTATGTATGTATGTATGTATGTATGTATGTATGTATGTATGTATGTATGTATGTATGTGTGTGTGTGTGTGTGTGTGTGTGTGTGTGTGTGTGTGTGTATGTATGTATGTATGTATGTATGTATGTATGTATGTATGTATGTATGTATGTATGTATGTATGTATGTATGTATGTATGTATGTATGTATGTACCGTGGAAATTGGGATCGAGCA